GAAGCTAATTAACGAAGGAGGGATAGTGAAACAGAAGATGAACTAATGCAGAGAAGAAGAATAACAGAAAGAGAAGCTGAATTCAACGTAATACGCACTGAATAAAGAAGTGAACAAGAGTGATAGCGAAGACAAAAGACAATTCTCTACGACACACTAGACGGCTAGTGAAGTAGAACAGGCGGGCCACAGGCAAAAGAGGCCTTAGAACATTATATCAGATAACCAGGCTGCTCGCTCCCGACCGACAGCTGCTACCTAGACGTGGTGGTCGGGCTTGCATATCGCAATGACCCAACGATCTACACTGGCTGGAACTAATGTTCCTGTAGGTCCTACCATGCCAGGAAGGTTGTTTGGATAGCGGTTAGACAAAAAGCAGCTACCCAATCCAATACTATGATTCAAACAAATTCACAAAATATCATGCCGGATCGGTCGGCATCCGGATTAACAACGACCACGCTTCGTGCTGCCGTGTCACAGGGCAGAAGTGATTAATATGCTACTGAGACACACCAAACAAATAAGAACAAATAAAAACAGGCCGCCTCTGACCGGCCTCAAGCAGTTGTCCCCTGGGCTCTGCGGTCACGCAACACTAACCTTTTCTCTATTTCAGGTACCCGAAGACTCAACCAACTTCCACGGTGTGGGCAGCCGGGAAGTAACAACCGCCCACACACTTCCAAAAGCACACGAAGCCTACCTGAGCGTCACTCTCCCTTACTCACATAACTTTCCTCATCTTGCTTCTCTACTACAGTTAGCACTTTTCTTCAGGCTAGTGAGTCATCTTCGTTTCACTCTGCGACCACAAACAACGATGAGAGCCATAGAAATACCCCAGATAGCCTTTTAAAGCCACGTCGCCAACTTCATATAGGAGCTTTTAACGTCAGGACCCTCTGCCAAATCGGAAAACAGGCATCAATAGCAAGAACTCTGGAATCTAGAGCCATGGATGTATGTTGTGTTTCGGAGACACGCATACAAGACCCGAGTGTGGTCATTCACTTGACCTCACCCGGTCAACAAGGTGAATCTGCAAAATTCACTTTAAGGGTGTTGTGACACCCCTCAGATAGCTCACGAGGACTCGCAGGTGTAGGGATATCACTGAGTGTTAGGGCAGAAAAATCACTTCTTGACTGAATTCCAGCAGATAGCCGTATGTGTGCGGTCCGTCTGAACGAGTCCGTTAAAAGAAGGAAAGACGGCGCTACCCGTCGTTGCCTTTTCGTAGTCTCCACTTACGCCCCAACAGACTGCAGTTCGGATGAATTAAAAGACGACTTCTACCTGAAACTGTCTAATTTGCTGCAAAAAGCAAAACGTTCGGACATAGTTGTTTTAGCAGGCGACTTCAATGCCCAAGTAGGGAGGTTGTGCCAGACTGACAAGTATGTAGGTGGTACGTATGGAGTTTCCTGCCGACGAACCGACAACGGTGATCGTCTTCTGCAGTTTTGCTCAGATAATCATCTGTTCCTAGTCAGCATGAACTTTAGGCACAAAGACAGACATTGTGTAACCTGGCGACCTCCATCACCAAATCAACGCTGGACTCAGATAGACCACATAGCCATAGGGAATCGTTGGCGAGGGTCAGTAGAAGACTGTCGCTCCTTCTGGAACACGTGTGTAGACTCCGATCACGCTCTGGTTCGCCCACGTTTATGCTTACGACTAAATGAACATAAGAAATTGACGGCAGCGAAACAGTTACGTCCCCAACTAGATCGTCACACTGAGTCCTTATTTAAGGAAGAAATAGCGAAACGAGTTTCTGAGGTCAACAGCAGGACTTACATCGAGGTAGCCTGGCACAACATACAGTTAGCTGTAGACACAGCTGTCAAAGCTGTTAGTAAGCTAAAAGCTAAAGTTAATAAAAGCCATTGGATCTCTACCACCTCATCCGAACTGATTGACGCAAGAAGACTGATTCCAGTGAGCTCCGATTATGATGAGGAGCGAAAGGTACTTAAGCGAAAACTAACAAAAAGTCTTCGCAACGACCGTGAACAGTGGTGGGCGACAAAAGCGAAAGAGAAGGAAAAGGCATCGGCGATTGGCAACACCAGACAACTATTCAGGCTTATCAGGGAAACAGGTGGCAAAAGGCAAATGATAAGTGAAACAATCTCGGAGAAAAATGACACCATAATTAGCTCCCAGGATAGACGACTGAAACGCTGGAAAGAACACTATGAGGAGCAGTTTAATTGGCCTACAGCCACACTTAACCTGCCGAACATCCAACACCTCCCTGAACGTGATATAGACACAGATCCTTCTTCCTTAACTGAGGTTACTAAAGCTGTCACTAATCTGAAGCATGGCAAAGCAGCGGGACCTGATGGAATGACTCCAGAGGTATTTAAGTACGGTGGAGACAATTCGGTGTCTGCATTAACTGAGGTTCTAGGCAGCGTCTTGGAATTAGAGGAAGTCTCATCGAGTTGGCGTTAGTCACTGGTCATCCCGATATACAAGAAGGGAGACAAGTCTTCTTGTGATAATCACAGAGGCATTAGCTTGACTAATATAGTATCTAAAGTCATAGGCTCAATAATCTTGAGTAGACTAAGTGGTGCTCTGGAGGCACAAATACAAGAAAACCAGGCAGGTTTTAGGCCAGGAAGAGGGAGTATTGATCATATCTTCACCCTCCGACAGATTCTAGAGCATAGGCATTCCCACCGGCGTCTAACAATCATTATATTTCTTGACCTAAAGGCGGAATTCCATTCTGTCGACCGAGAGGTACTCTGGCGATGCTTGGCTGTAAAGGGAATGCCGAGAAAATACATTGCACTGATTAAGGCACTCTACTCGTACTCATGCAGCCAGGTGAGGGCTTACGGCGAGTTGTCATCTGAAGTGGTGACGACTAGTGGCGTCCGTCAAGGATGCCCATTATCCCCATTTCTATTCAACTTCATCATAGATTCACTAATGGACTTAACCCTAACTCACTTCAGAGACTCAGGGATTGACTTGCTACCAGGGAATAATCTCGTTGACTTAGAATATGCAGACGATATAGTCCTTCTAGGCGAGGACGCTGACAAAATACAGAGTCTTCTGAACACCTTGAGCAGCAATCTTCGTATGTTTGGCATGCGATTCGCCCCTGTTAAATGTAAGATGATGTTGCAAGATTGGACTACACCGACTCCTAGATTAGAAATAGGAAGTGAAGTGGTAGGGCACGTTGACCGCTTCACTTACTTGGGAAGTACCATCAGCCAGTGCCAACGGGTTGATCTCTGACGAAATCTCAACACGGATACAGAGGGCCAGTTTACGCCGTCTCTGGAGTAGACGTGATATCCGACTATCGAGCAAAGGGCGTGTATACTGCTCAGCAGTCCGCTCCATCCTGCTTTATGACTGTGAGTGAGACATGGCCATTGAGAGCGGAAGACATGAAAAGATTAGCTGTCTTCGATCATAGGTGTCTGCGTTCTGCGTGAAGTGGTATAATAAGGTGTGCAATATTGAGGTTAGGCGTTGGTCGAGTGCTAGGTAAAGAGGGGAAATCAATCGACGAGGTTGTGAAGTTACATCGACTGAGATGGTTAGGACATGTGTTACTTATGCACACCTAGTCATCGCCTTCCTCGACGGGCAATATTAGCTGACATAGGGTCAGGCTGGAAAAGAGCTGGCGGCGGTCAAACCAAAACATGGCACTAGTCAATGAAATCTACAACAGTTAGTCCAAGCCACGTAGGAAGGTGTAGACTTCCTGACTGGTTGGGCTCCTCGGGACGGTAAAAACCAATGGTTGGAAACTATTGGTGACATGGCTCAAAATCGTTCTCAGTGGCGCAGATGCATCCACTCCTTGTGACTTATGATTTCCAACTAAACTGTTTTGTTCTTCGTTATTACTATTCCTTTGTTTCACACCTCTGTTTACTGGCTCTAATATGCATTTCTTCTACTTTCTTCTCTGGCTTTGTGTGCTACATGAAGGGAGTGTGGCAACTTGAACTGCCGCACATCGGTGCAAAGTTCTATGTCGAAGACAGGCAGACAGAGACAGGCTGCTCTCTATCCGGGAACAGATCAACACAGATGATGAAACCAATAAAAGATAGCCAAGGGAAGCTGATTATCAAGGTGGAGAAGTAGAGGACACAATGGGCTGATCACTTCAAATGACTCTTGAACCAACCGTCACCTACAACTCGTTCAGGAATACAACCAACAGCCACAGAACTGTCAGCGAACACCAGTCTGCCAACTAAAGCAGAAGTGTTCAATGCAATCAAGCTAAAGAAGTCCGGGAGGACTGCAGAACGGGGCGGAATTCCTCTTGATGCACTGAATACGGATCATCGAACAGAGCAGAGCATGGCTGTCAAATTTCTACCTCAACTTCATCTACTCTGAAAAAGCCTTCAACAGCAAAGACTGTGAAATAATTTGGAAACTGTTTGAACACTATGGAGTGAAGCGTGCAAACCTATATCATCCTCACTCAACAGCTATATGATAACGCTACATATCAAGTGATTCACAAGAGAGAACACAGTGATGCCTTCGAAGTGAAGAGAGGAGTAAAACCAGACTAATTACTGTCACTATTGATATTCCTGATTGTGGCGGACTGGATTATTCAATGGACGGAGAGTAGGGAGAGGGAAGACAGTAATATGCTGAACCGGTAAGAAAACTCTAGACGATTTACACTTGGCTAGAGTGGAACCCGTATGGGAAACCACGAGTTGGACGTCATTCCGAGAGTGACATGGTGCAGACCATGTGAGGACGAGAATATAGCCTCTAGGCAGCTGGAAACAACTTCACAGAAAAGAATCAAATGGAGTTGTGCTGTTCAATCCCTACGTTCAACTCGATACCAAAGCAGATATTAATAATAATAACAATAGTTATTTTGAAGAAAACCTATTAAGTATTTTAACAATAAAGCTCACAATTACCAGTTTAATAAATAAAGCAAAAATACCAAAATCACATCTTACACTTTAGTAGATATCATTTTCTCGTAACTCTCATCCACGAGATTGAATGCTCTTGCCACCTTCACAATTTCACAGTTCCGATCCAACTATATTGAACAAAAACATTTAACATATTATATTACCGGTGAAAAACAAATAACTTCAAAAGTTACATACTATACCATGAAAAATAATTACTTCCATAACATACAATTATCAATTATGGATCAGATTTTAAATGTCTAATAAAACGAGCAGTAGCACAAAGTGGTACAAGAAAAGACCTAAATGATGAAATAAAACAGATAGAAGAAGCGTTGGTGTTGAATAACTATCCTATAAAATTCATCAGGAAGATCAGTAAAGGCCAAAAGCTAAATTAAAATAACTGTGAAACTAGTAATGATAACATAAGTAAGAAAGAATATAAGTCATCCACTGTTCTATCAATTATTGAGGGAGGGGACATCTGAGACCCTACGTAGGATTCTTAATAAAGCAGGAATTAGGGTGGCATTGAAAACTACAAACTCACTCAGAGACAAGCTCTGTAGGTTAACAGACCCTTTTGACCTAATTAGACAAATAATATAATTTACAAAATGCCCTGCAATGACTGTGAGTTAGGTCAACTGCATAGGTCAAACTATGTAGGCCGGGGGTAGTCCGATTGTCGGAATATAAGAATTTAGCTAAGGTTAGAATGGTTGACTTCGAGAAGATAAGTAATTTAGAAAAAACCTCAGCTGTTGCACTTCACGCATTAACAAAATACTACACAATCGGGTGGTAGAGGATTAAGATTCTAAGAAGTAATATAGGTAGGTGGAGAGAGAGGTTGATTGCTGAATCCGTATTCATCGAGTCTACACCCAACACATGCAACAGAAATGACTCAATGCAAATACCACAAATATGGAAGATATAATTATTACCGCCGTTCAAATCAGAAGAGGATAATAAATAATCTCAAAATTCCATTTCAATTCAAACACATCACAACATTCTAACAAGTTACTCATTATGACTATAAAAACACTAGTCCTATTTTTCCCATCTGATTGTAATCGATCAATAACACTGGTACTATTATTTCTGAATGTACATTATCCGATATTGATTTTTATTCCAATATCTAATCGATTCCGCACATGCATATAAGTGAAGGAAAAAAGTTGTGTGAGTAACTTGATATGATTGTGAGCAATAGTTTATCCTCGAAACGTGGTCACATCAGCTAATATTATTTATTTTTTATTTTTCATTTACAGCTTGATTCCACACCGTATTTTCAGTACAAGTATGGAATTTTCAGCATGGATATCGGTAGCCCAAATTCAGGCTGACCATAGATATCGGGTGTGCGCCGGCAGGTGGTCGAACCCCGGACCATGTGCATGGTCGGCGAGAGTCCTAACCACTGTGCCACCGACGCACAACACTGTGTGATTTATCAAAATAAAATCTTATCCATAATGGAGTTATGCTCAACCACAGTGTCCAAGTTTTACACTTATATGAATTATACAATTATCAATACTAACTAGAGGCGAAGAAGACTACTCAACCAGATTACGTCTAGTCAGTCACTCAATCAGGCAGTAATATTATTAACAACCTTTATAAAACCATCAAACAAGCCGAAAACATTATTTTAAAATGTATGAGTACAAACAAATGTGTGAGTACATAAGATGATAATAATGGAGTGACATGCAATTGAATTAGATGCGATTACATAATCACAGCTAAATGTCAAGTGGCAAGTGGTAAAACAATCAATGTTATATACACAATAACTCATAGGATGTACAGATATTGGAAGGGTGTGGTGGTGTATATAACCACCACGGGGTTAGTAGGCAAATATGAAACGTTACATAACATGGTATAAAATTCAATAGGATGGAAGTCAACATTGCAAACAAGTATTTTTGATTTTGAATGGCAGCGGGGATAAGTGGAAATGCTTCAAAGTGAGAATACCAGTAATAATAATAACAACAATAATGAGATTAATAATGATACTAGTAATGAGGGGAAGGTACATCGACAAAACAAGCAAATTAAATGAGTGAAAAACACAATGGTAACAATAATAAAATACAGATAGATATGCATTTATCCGTCTACGTCCACTGCAGAAATACAGATTGTACATACTTCTTTTATACACAAAAGTCTGGCTCAAACTCAAGAATGGAGAAGGCCTCTCCTGTTTTTAGGAGAAAATGCGGCAAGTTGACACAAATTCCATAGATGATCTTAAAATCGTGGTCAGCGTTGCTAGAGTGACATGAGTCGGTCAAGTGTTGTAGAATACGGCTCCCTTCACCCTCCCCTTTTCCTTTGCAAAACCATGCTGGAATATGTTCTCCTATTCGTGTGGAAAACGTCCTCTGGCTACGGTCAATGTGCCTTGCTCCACAACAACAGGTCAACTGATAGATGCACATGGAGGCGGCCAGAAGGGGCAGCTTATCTTTTACAAAGGTGGAGAACAACAACAACAACAACGACAAGAGAACGCCATTTGTAGCTTTTCAGCAAAAGATGTCTTACTGACTGATTTAAAGAGACGATTTTTGAGCATATCTGATCACCTTTGAATTCCAAATTCATGAATGTGGCTACCTTTGGAACTGAGTCAGAGACCCGTTTTGGACTGCTTATCTTTCGTATTTTTGTCAGTAAATCGGTTCGAATAGCTTTTTTTCTGCGAGCGTGGCTTTTAGGAAGGAAGGTTCTGAGTCAACGCAGTCAGAACTACAGATGTTTTTATCCTAAAGCAGAGCGGGTGAATTACGTCCCCTTTCCTGGATATAAGCATCCAGCTATAAAATTAGTTACTTGTTCATTCCATGTACGTTTCCAGTGGATGGAAATTTTGAGAGATCCACCATTGCGTCTACTAACGCACACATCAAGAAAGGGAATGCTTAGTTCAGATTCCTTTTCTATGGTGAGTTGCAGAGAAGGATGTCAGTTGTTGAATGCAAGCAAGATATCATTAGGAATTACGTTCTTCTCTCAGATAACGAAAGTGTCGTCTACGTATCTTCTAGCAATATCAAAGCGACTGATGGTTTCATTGTGTTGATAGTTTCTAAGCTTTACTATAAAGCAATCAGCCATCAGTGGACGCAGTGGCAATCCTATCGCAATGGCATATATCTAACTAAAGATCTCGTTATGGAAAGCGAACTGAACATTGAGCGTACATCTCAATAAGAGTTCTTTGAGGTAAGTTGCCGGCAACCCTACATCTAATCTATGTGCATCAACATAATCGCCTATATAAGCAGCTAATAGTTTCAGTGAGAAGGTATATTGGTGAAAAGCAAAGTAATACCTAATGAGAACATGATTTTGTCTGACACATTAGAATCTTTATTACCCTTGATAAATTAAAGTGTATCATCAATGAAAAAAAACTTAGATACACTTGCCTTCTAACTGGTTCCGGTATTTCAGCTAGCCAATGAGCACTTGCGCGATAAGCAGAACCCGCCATATCGAGGATCAGACCGTGGCGTACCCCTGTTTTTTTTAATGAATTCTCGGTAGTTCATACAAACGTAGTATTATGCAGCCTACTGGTTGGATGCGTTCGTACAAATCTGACGAGATTACAAATTTATTTTTTTTCATGTTCTTAAAAACATCCGTCAGTTGATTTTCAACTAGATGTGTCCAATATGAAATTACATTCTACCGAAAAAGGCCAGAGTTCTACACTTTTACACATTATTGATACTTATGGTCTCCCTGTTCGAAGACTAGTCAATAAACTAGCAAGATTATCTATCACAAACAGAAGCAAGATTTACAAAAATCATCGTATATTTTTAACATTCGATGCTTAAAAAGTGGAATTATTCCTACATATCTTCGTCTACACGTTCCGGTTAAAACGAGAAAGGAACTGGAACACCTCAGTAGACTCTATTTAAGAGAAGAAATCCACAGAATTATCAGTAAGCTAACTGCCATCAGACATGAAATTGGGAACATCTAAAATCCAAACTGAAAAAAATATGGTAAATGACAAGGATTATGAAACATCTAAAAAGTCTAGTTTAGCTGTGCATTCAACAAATCCAAAAATACTCAAATTAACAAGTTCAACAAACATCGATGGATGACAGATATATTTATTCTGCTAAAGAAAAAGAATTCACACCAATGAAATACAGTCAACCATCGATTAAACAAAGTGGGCAGTTAACCTCTCAACAAGAGAAGAGCCTTAAGTCCTGATGAAGTAAAAATACTTGATGAAAAGGGATTAAACTTCAATGTAGCTGTGAATAGATTAAAACCTAAAGACGTCATTTAGTATAGTATAGTATAGTATAGTATAGAAGAAGCATTAAGTGAAATGGACAAAGCCAGTGCGGAACAAGTCAGATCACAATATGCCTTGACACTAAAACATCAGAAGAAAGGACGAAGCCTCCTACTAGCCCTATGGTGGTTATACACGCCCTTTCAATATCTGTACATCCTATGAGTTATTGTGTATATGACATTAATTGTTTTACCACTTGCCACTTGATATTTAACTATGATTACAATTTTCAACAGTTGGTTTGTAAGGATTAGATTTATTTTGACGAGTTGATCACGGATTGATATCAGTTAGAGAACCATTGAAAACCACCATGGAGTACTGGACAGTTGTTTCATCCTAGTTTGGGAATCATAGGCAGTACGCACGCGCTGGTGGTCGCGCTAAATCACCAATTGGTAGAAGTTAGAATTCATGGATTGGCCATTGGATCGGGTACCAGTGGATGAATGGTATACGAGCTAGCTCGCTTTGTAACCGGGAAGTCCTGGGTTCGAACCCTGGCGGTGTGTGCGTACTGTCAATGATTCCCAAACTAGGGTGAAACTGCTGTCCAGTACTCCATGGTGGTTTTCAATGGTTCTCTAACTGATATCAATCTATGATTATAATCGCAAATAATTCAGTTGCATTGCGAGCTATTATTATTTCATGTATTCATGCATTTGTTTGAATTTTCTCGCGGGATATAATTTCTTAATATGAAAAACCATATTTATACGATTCTATATCCTGACAATAAATCCGTTGAAAAGAGTCTCTTCCTTGAATAGTGTGTTCTTAAATACATAAATATCTCAGTATGGGTAACCTGTGTGCAAAATGTATCCTAAAACTGGATGAAATGTGTGTACATTGAACCTGTGCGGATCATTTTTGCACAGTTCTACATTGTAAATTCACTTCAGTTCATGCACTGATAGAAATCAGTGGGGATTCGAGTACCATTCAAATGGGGAAAAACCAACAATGTGTCAACAAAATGTCTATAATTTTATGCTGTGTACGCATTCGAATAATTCATCTACTGGTATAGCTGTTACGAAAAGTATTCACAGCATTCGTTCTACGACTTTCGATAAATCGCATACGCCAAACACCCTCCTCCTAGTGTATATTACTGAAATAATACGTATACAATAAAATTACACATCGAAGACTAATCACTCTCTCGGATTCCCCAAGCCATTACAACCTGAATCTTATGTATAAAAGCTACACCATCTATGTGGAATCAACATTCCTACAGAATCGTCTGAAAATTGTGCATCACTGGCTGGTTCCAACATAGATTTTTCCACACATGTGCAGAAGTTCCAGTTGCCACTCTCCCTCCAAGTAGTACACAAGGTTAGCGAAGAGAGTAAAGAAAGGTTCAAAATACGGATAATAAGTATAAGTGTGCGAGATAAAGAATAGTAATATGGAAGGACAATAGAGTTTTATTGGCTATGACAAATCACAAAGAGTGAATGCAGATGCGCCAGCCATTGACAACGAAGATTTTCAGCCATATCACTAATTGTCTCCAGCCATTGCTTCTTAGAATCGAGAGGACTACAGGCAGGTAGTCTGCACCACCACACGTTGGTCAGACTAACTGTTATATAATTCATTAACTGACTCCAAGTTTTGGTTTGACCACTACTAGCTTTCTCTTTTCAAAGCTGATCCTATGCCAACTAACGTCGCTCGTCGAGAAAGGCGATGGATAAGCATGCGTAACACATCTCCTAACCATCTCAGTCGATGTAACTTCCCAGCTTTGTCGATGATTGATTTCTCCTCCTTAACTCGAATGTGAAGTCAGTGCTACTTAACATACGGATCAGAGACTTGCACTGCGCGTCATAAAGAGCATCTCAAACAAACTACAGACCTTCATTAACAGTTGTCTTCGCTCAATACTCAAGCTCAGATGGCCGGCCAGAAAAGATCTGCAACAGAGTTGGATCTCTGGGAGCGAACCAACACAGCAGGAACCGATTGTGAAACAAATAGGCAGGAAGAAATGGAGATGGATTGGCTGGCCATACTCTAAGGGAACAAACCATCAACTGACATCACTAGACAAGCCATCGCTCGAGTGAAACCCGAAAGGGAAGCGGCGAGTTGGTCGTCAGTGCGAGGGTGGGTGACTCGAAGGAGGTCATGTGAAGAGGAGATGAAAACGTGTGGGCAGACTTGGAGCCAAGTGAACACTCTAGCAGAGAACCGAACTCAATGAAGACGCACGACTGAAGCCCTATGTTCCTCTAGGAATTAAAGGATATAATAATAATAATAATAATAATAACTAGTACTCGACAGAAGCCTAACCTCAACAATACTCACCCTATTGTATCACCGAACACGCGAGATAGAACACAGACACCTACGATCAAAAACTGCTAACCAGCCTTTTCATGTCTTCCACTTGCAATGGCCATATCTCACAGAGAACCATTAGGGAGGGCTGTGTGAACTGCCAAGCAGTACACACATCTTTTGATCGATAGCCTGCCGGATATGACGTCTACACCAAAGGTGGCATAAGTTCACAGGCAAATGCCAAACGAGTCTTCTGTATCCGTGCTGAGATTTCAGTTTGCTGGAGTTGGCCGAAGAAACTTCCAAAATAAGTCAACACGCTCCACCAACCACTCCACTACCCTCTGTCTTTAAGCTAGGAGCAGTCAATGTAATCCAGTCCTGTAGTATCTATCATCTTACATTTGACAGGAGTAAATTCCACGCCACACGTTCCACCAAGATTGTTGCTCAGCTCAAGGTGTTCAGAAGACGCCGCATTTTGTCAACGTTTTCACCTAGATGGGACTAGACTATATTATCTGTATATTCTAAGTCAACGAGATTATTCCCTGGTGGTAGGTAGTAAGTCAATCAATACCCGAGTGACTGAAGTCAGAGTTGGGGTTAAGTTCATTAACACATCATCTTTGATGAAATTAAACAGAAATAGGAACAATAAGCGCATACCTGTCTTCACTTCAGATGACAACAAAACTTGTGCATGGCTTAGTAGTGTTGCGCCACTGAAAGGAGAACCACCAAGTCATGCTAATAAAAACACAGGTAAAGTGATACCTCACTCAAACAAAATTCTTATATAACAATCGAATAAAGACAAAGTCAACTGTACTACTAAAATGAATTTTTAAACAGTCTTAAAATTAGTCAGTATATTTTCTCCATTCTCTATCGATCAATATAAACAATTCAATACTCAACAAATCAATAAGTCAATAAATCAAATTCAAATACAACAAACCTCAATTCCTTCACAAATTTGTAATTGATGAGTAAGTTTTGCATTCTCCTGGAGTAAACTCTCTCTCTTTCAACTAATAATTTATTTACTCTATCTTGATTGAAGTATTTTTTCTTCATTTCCGCCATGTATTCATTCTGTAATGAAAGGATCATATATATATATATATACACATAAAGTTCAAACTGATGAGAAAAAAGCTGTAAACATTGAAGTTGAAAAAAATTTACAGCGTTATATAGTGTAAACCACGATAGATAACAACACTACATTCATACAATAAGTGAGCATATATCATCCAAGTAGCACTGAGAACTTCAGTCAAATCACAGGCCTTATTGTGTTCAATAACATATATACTGAAATTATCATTTGTGACACAGTATCAACTATATATCTGATGGTAGACTGGCTAACAAGAAGACAAGATGACAGTATTAAGCGGGGGGAGGGAGGTATTTCCTGGAAGAAGTTATGCGTTGGCCAATGCGCGCACACACACACACACATACATACCTTTCAGATCATTTGTTCCTCTTACATGCAAACAAAATCTTATCAGTAGCATGATGTATCGAGCTAGAGAAATCTGCACAATCGACACTGTGGACTATGAAATAAGGGAAATATAAAACTTAAAATATATGACAACGGATACCCCGAAAGTTTTTTTCAAGTCTTCATGAGGAGAACAGATAGAGAGAAATGCCTGCGAATGGTGTAGATAAGATACATGCGTAAACCTTGGGCACTGTGGTAGTAAGTAATTCCATATTAATTTGTTTATTAGATGCATCACACATAGTGTGAAACAGTATTACTATTTACTGAATGACAAAGTTTCGAACACAAATTGTTATTGTTCATAAACATATCAATTATAATCACACAAATTCGCAAATTTACTTTTATAGTTTTTTTCCTATCTGATAGTCCTAAGATCTAATACAGTAGAGTGCAGGGAGAGATCAATCACGGAAGCTTCATTTATCGAATCAACTGCAAACCAACAGGTGTAATCAGAATGATTCAACATCTGTCCACTCAGACATCTGGAAAATTCTACTACCTCTACAAAAAATAGGCAAGAATAAAGAAAACTATAAAACTAACGTTTCGAAGTTGTATCATTATAATTGATATGATTGTGAACAATAACAAATTGTGTTCGAAACCTTGTCATCCAGTAAATAATAATACTGTGACATATCCAATAATCAAATTCATATGGTGCAGAAGGGACGTATATACATGACTTGATCGTTTAAAGGAGACACACACAACTTCGAAAAATTATAGTTAAGACATTTTTTGCCGCAACATTGTGTTTAGAATTTGCTATTCATTGTTTAATTCCAATGCAGGTGAGTGATAAGCTACCGAGTCTGACCAATTCAAGGTGCATTTACAAATTCAACTGTTCATATGGAGACACCTACATAGATAGAAAGATTTGGGAAGCCCACCGTCGCCTTCTGGAGCATTGTCCAACGTGGTTAGGTAAAGGTGTAGTGACGTCAAGCAGAAATTTCATACTGGCACACATAGTGGATACAGAGCACAAGATTGACAAAAATTCAGATTTTACAATTCTATACAAAGTGTTATCTCAACTCCCTAGGTTGGTACGTCTTCGGTTGCTAGGCTAGGGCTAGCTGGGGCAGTCGCCATAATGAATTTTCAAGCCAGTATCTGTGCTCAAAAACGTTTGTTCAATCTCTTCACCCACCCACCCCCCACATTCTAAAATAGTTATCTCTCTTGGTGACACAGGAAAACTGTAAATATTATCTTATTATCATTTTATTCTATTTGTAATGCTAACTGTATTATCAATATCATTCTGTTGTAGATTTTAACCTCGGTTTCACAACTCATCATTATCATATTATCTAGTCGCTATGTGACAATAGTTACTTCCTCTCTCCACCCCTAATAACACACACACACACACATTCTATCTATACACTCACCACTACCTGGATTATACAAACATTTGAATCAATTTATCCTTGTTATTATTATTATTATGATCACGCCGATTGTTATCCATTAATTCGCATCTCTACACTCTGATCCTGGATATTTTATTCACCAAATTAATTCAAATGCACATGATTGATATTTCATCATGCAAAATGTAAAGCCTGATGAGAATTTACCGACAATACGTATTTGCTTAAATCGTGTTCTATAATTACCATTATGATAACACCTAAATTGTCGTGAGAGCTGTCTGTCAGCCGACAATCGCAGACAGCAATTTACGTCGATGTTACGTCCCGAATCAGGGTCATGAGAAAAAAACAATAACAAAACTTAACCTTGAGGAACTCACCAACCAATCACAGAGGACTTAATGTGTGCAAATACGATTCGCAGATATATATGGCTTAACTTTCTGAGAAACGGTCACAAGCAGTACAGAATAACCTTCAGCAAGAAAACAACCAATCAGACGAGGTTGCTTCCCTGCTAACAATAACGCTAATAATAATGTACATAAAAATCTATAAATATCTCTTGATTTTCTCAATAAACGATCTGTTGCCTGTCCCTTGTCGTCTGACGTTACAAAATTATATCCCATGGTGTTTCGTAAGTTAAGGCAATATACATCAACCAGCATCATCTCTGGCACCACTTCCTACTTAAGACTTCCACACTGTCTCATAAAGCTTCATCCTGTATAATTTTGCACACCAAATACGGAACTAGCCTTCCCTGAGTTGAAGACTTCCCCGCTGATGAATGTTCAATTGTTCTCACTTGTGCAGGATGTTTTCGTATCGGATAGTTGTAAGCACCATTTTTAAGTTAAACGACGCGTCCGAATAATGTTCAGATTATCTTACAAATGAAGCGCTTATATTCACTCACCTCTTATAAATAAAATGTCCGAGTTATGAAAGTATATCGTAAGTCAGAGTATGTCAATAAGCAAAATAGACTGGAAGTTACAAACAAATTGTAGTTATCAATAAGGAAACATTTTCACCTTGTGCATAACTTACGACTTTAAGCTTATTTTCTGTTTCTGAACGCTGCAAATCTTCTTTCAATTTACTGATCATTTCCCGCTGTCGAACAATCAGTTTTTCAGCACGTCGGCGTCGATCTTCAATCTAAAATTTATTTAAATACACAGGATGACACTTTGCAAATATACCATATTTAAATGTGATACTGAAATGCAGTAAAACACATTTCTTTTGACTAACAGCCACACTTGTGTTAAGAGAAAACAGCATGTAACTCCAATAAAAAAACACAAACCACTAAGATATATCACACTATGCTAATATATGAATGTCTTTATATGTATATTATACGGTTACAAGTTGAAGCCAGGTTGTGTGTAACTGGTTTCAAAGAGTTACACCCAGGGCTTTGGAATCACACAGCACTAATGCTCTTCCTTTTTCAGGTATTCCAAGAAGAAACTGACTTCTGTCCATGGTGTGATCAGCCGGGAGGTGATAACTACTACACACTTCCATAACCTTCCATCCATCTTCTTGCTTTCTCCTCACTGTTCTACAGACACATTCTACGTCTTCTATCTGTCTATCTATCCATCAACTCTGATACCATTAATGGAGATTAAGGAAGGATGAACACTATCGTTAGTTGCTTAAAACCATCCTGTTGGCTTTATATTACAGCATTCGGCGTCGTTGTGTACTCCAGTTTATGATGATGATTGTATAGGGATCTACCTCACTAACATAATGTCTAAAATGTTATGTTAAATAGTCATGCATAGACTACGCGTTGCTCGGCAGAGACAGACAGATCCATGAAAACCATGCAGGTTTTAGACTCGGACGAATGTTACCACCATATTCCCAACGTTTGGTAGACTCTGGGACACAGGTATACTTACCAATGTTCAATAACACATGCCTAGTTTCTTGACCTGAATGCCACATTCCACTTCGTCCACTGAGACGTAGTGTGGTAATGTCTGACGATTAAGGGAGCTTCAGTAATTGCCAAATTCCCATTTACGCATTTAGAAAAAACAACAGATTGAGCGAAGAAATATATTCCTTTTCAATTAGTTTATCATCATCGGCTCTACACTTTGTTAATTTTTACAATTCTAGCTAATTCTATTAACTTGTTTGTGTTTTACGTAACTCTTCTGAGTCATCCTACTCTTCTCAGTCGTCATTATTTTACAGACCTATTGATTATGTAATAACTTGTTGCTAACGCCTAATTAATTTAATTAATTTTCACCCTACGCCCCTTGGAAACTTAGATATCTTGTTACTAACACTTGTCAATTAGTTGTTTTGATGACCTGTAACCTCTTAATTTCACCCCACCCCCGTCTATACCTAAAACTGAATAACTAGAATAACCACTTGATTGGTGGGACATTTTTGATGTAAAAAACAATATATTTGTGTGGAGCCAGCCGATGTGATGAGGAACTAATTGAAAAGGAATATATTTCTCCGCTCAATCTCTTGTTTTTTTTCTACATTAAGGGAGTCCCGAGAAAGCATACCGCACCAGTCCAGGCACTCCACCTCAACTCATTCAGCTCTATAAGAACTTGTGGAGAGTTATCATACGAAGTAATAACAGCCAATGATATTCATCAAAGATGCACAATATATTCATTTTTGTTTAATTTCACCGGAGATGCACTAACTGATATAACGACGTAGGGAGTGATTTGTTACCAGATAACAGTCCAGTCGATATAAACCATGCAGATGACATTGTCTTTTTAGATGAAAACGCTGACAAAATGCAATCTGCTAAACACTTTGAGCGTAAATCTTCGTGTGTTTGGCATGCTATGTCAAATGTGAGATAATCCTGCAGGACTAGACTGTACCGACTCTTAGGATAAAAATAACGAATGATGTGATTAGGGCAAGTCACATTAAGCCTAATGGGCTGAATGATGACGAAGTTTCAACAAGGATACAAAAAGCTCGTGTGGCATTTGCTAATTTATGTCATCCCTCACATAGACGTGATCCGGCTATCAATCGAAGGACGTATATGTATTTCACACTTTACTCCCTCTACCTTTATGGCTGTGAAAGTGGAAGACCTAAATGGGCTGGCTGTCTTTACTTCACATGTTCCTCCCATCTCACATGTTAAATGATAAGGAATACTGAGGTAAGACCAACTGTAAGACAAAGATGGAAAATCGATAAGGTTGTGCAGCTACATCGATTAAGATGATTAGGACACCTGTTACGCACAACAATCCATCGGAATCCCAATCCAGCAATGTTAACTGACATACGATTAAGCTGTAGAAAAGTAAACAACCGTTAAACTAAAACAAGACATGAATCCATGAAGTCGTTAACTGTTGGATAAAGCCAAGTAGGGAGGTGTAGACTGCCCGTTTGAAGTCTACAAGATAGTAAGAACCAGTGACTTCAGACTGTTGGTGTCGTGGCTCAAAATTCTTCTATGCGATAAATACACATAGCACATACATTAACTTCTCATTACTCTCCATGTACTTATTTTTTCTCCTCTACATTTCCATTCATTATATTTTCTTGGATTTTCGCCCTCTACCTTAGTATACGATATGAAGTGTAAAAACTTGAGCTGCTGCACTTTCCTGAGAAGTTATATGCTGAAGACAAAGTCAGTCATTCAGTAAGCCGTCTATGTAGACTTAAGTCCTGGTGAGTGTCAGGAATACATACACATTATATTTTCAGAAAAATACTTATCAGAACATTGGATCATAAACCAACTTGAGAAAGTGCAGAATTCTCGCGTTCATTTCTCGTAGAATTGAGTTGCATTCTCAAGGATTCACACTGAGCTTGAGTATCCCGTAGTTTTGATTGACGTTCCTTAGTGGAAAAGAAATAAAGGTTAAGAGGAAAAATGTCTCATCAATCTAGAATCACGTCGCCCATAACAAATTTACAAAAATGTATCCCGTTGCAGTAGCTAGCCCAAGCTATACAAACCAAATATTTCGTAACTTTGATTAAAATACAATGCAATGGATTAGAATTTCTGTTACACTAAGACGAACGTAACTATACTGTGATATACAACTTGAAGCTTCTTGGGAATGCATAACAAACAACTCACTACCGGATTGATGTTATCCTACGAATAAAAGTGACGTGTGCTGTCAAACACACCGTTCTGCAAACCAAACTTTGGTTGCAACCAACAATCAAGATTCTGTGTTTTTAATATCTTTATAAATGAAGAGGTGAAAACTCTTCGTATGCTATGTCATAAAATTGCATTGACACTGAAATTAGGTAGATATAATCTGCACTCATCCATAGTTTAAGAAGAGGGAGTATAGGTAGTCGAGTGTGCTGACCACTTCATTTGTTTGGAAAATGCTAACAAAACCTTGGTTCCGCTACAAAAGGTCCATCTCACAGTTTCCAAATCACTCTCATCTTTCGCATGACGTGATATCTGGATATCCACCAAATGACGTGTGTACTGTTCACTAGTTCACGCCATCGTTTTTGACGGCTGACATTTGGTCGTTGAAATTGGAATACTTGAAAAGGATAACCGTCTTTCAGCAATCAATCTTCCTTGTAAGTTGATGCAATATGGTAGTAATGCCGTTAGGCGTAAATTATTGAGTCAAGAGGGAAATTAATCAACTACACGATTAGGGCACGTGATGCATATTCCAAGAACTTCAAATTTATTTACTCATACCTTTAGTTGACGTTCCAGTTCAGTGATATCTTTCCGCAAACTATCACGACCCTCTTCTAGCTCAAGGATTCGTAGACGATGCTTTGACTCCTCCAGTTCCATAGTAGTTTTCACCATGGATATTTCATCTTCCAACCATTTAACTTCGTCCGACAGTGCACTACTGGCCACCTCATCATCGTTGTCAGAAGCCTGAAGAGAAATATATTTAACACCCAGCATAGATTAGATGTTAAACACGTCACATACAACATATTTCATGACAAAATCAATCTCTGCGGTAAATCCCCATACTTACAAACGAAATGCAACAGTAATCCTAGACAAAAAATCCATACAGATAAGATGATTAGGAATACTAAACTTATTCCCAAATGACTAAGTCATCGAAAACGATCACAGAGCAACGACTTGTTCAGTCTGTGTGGTTTGAAATTATGCCAAAATCATGTTATTAGCCTAGGATAAATGCTGCAAACATTATTATATGAAGAGGGGTATCCGGTGAGATCAATTGAAGGTTTCAACAACACAGAAATGTACATCTCAAAACTCCTTGCTACTGAAATGAGGTCAATACAAGACAATTAAACAGTTAGACTAATAATAGCCTCAATTGAATCAATGAAATAGTGTAACTTAGAACTAATAAACTTTCGTGAGATGCTCTGTATTAGCGTGCCTGTCCCACTAGAAGTACACCATAAACTGCATGAGTTGATCATACACAACAGAAAGTCTCCCCAAATACTCAACATTCCAAGTGAGGCAAACCAAATGCCTCATCAGCTTGAAAAAATCCTGTCTAATGAACTACCTAAACTTTCGGTACGGATAAAGAACATCTCCTTTTCAAACCAACACCAAGCATAACAAGTATACCTACCTCACAATTCTGAGCCTCAGCTTCTTCGAAAGCCTCCAACTGTTCCATCAACTGAGCTACACGTTTTTCAGTAGCATTAACCATCTCAGTCAATGAAACGACTTTCTCTTCTATTGTTTGTTGCTTTTGTTCCCGAAGCTGGTCAATAACAGATTCTAGGTCTGCGATTTTCTCAAGATAATAAGCCGCCATATCTTCTTTCAACTGTACTTTTCTTGATAATCTCTTATTCACTTCTAACATATCCTGTGTAATTGTCGAAACGGATTTAATTCACATATATGTTGCACAATTCAAGGAATTACATAACAAAAAAGCAAAATAATTATCATTCCAATAATCTCGTCAAAAAAGTTTATTCCTCAGCTAATGAATTCGGCTACAAAAATGCTGTACACGGAGACCTATAGAGCGGACAAGTATGGAATATATAAAAGTTCGTTTGTCACATACTACAATGACAGCCCCATTCAGCTGGAATGAATATAAATCTCCTAGATTGTAAGATTATGTGAACATTACTAGTTGGATCACAAAAGCAATTGATACTCAGTTCTTACCTCATAAGAAATTACACCACACGGTATCCTATTATCCTGACAATATTCGGTTCACAACACGACAACTGCGTAATTTTGCCACCAAATCTCTGACTGAAGAAGTTAGTACTATCCTACTTTTTGACCAAAGTACCCTACCTAATTAATATCAGTAAAAAGTTTGAGCATTGTGGATTAGATCAAATAAAGTATAATTATATTTTAATAGTTTACACACAATGATAAGTTTTGTTATTGGTAATATTTCGAGCAAAATTACTGCCCGTGTTCACACCAGTGTTGGAATTGTTTGAATCAAACAATTCCAACACTGGTGTGAACACGGGCAGTAATTTTGCTCGAAATATTACCAATAACAAAACTTATCATTGTGTGTAAACTATTAAAATATAATTATACTTTATTTTACCCTACCTAAGCCTGATGCTAGCTCATTTGCTTAAACCGCTATCCTCAAGAGGCTTTGAGATGTTAGAAATGATCCAATACGTGCAAACTTTAATATATCCCTCTTTAAATGTTCTCAATAGACTGATCTAAATTAATTCAGTGACCACCACTTGAAAACCCGAGTATTACATCATGTGATGTCTGAATAACCTAGAAACTCTTATGTTAACTTAAGATGCCAAATAGTCTCAACGGAAGAATCCCATCTCGTCAATCGATTACCCATACCCCTGTGTTGCTAACGCTTAAGAGACTAACAGCTATAAAACAGAAGTGAACATGCAGCCAGGTTTATTATTATTTTATTTATTTAAACGCAGAAAAACTTGGTACAATATGGCACCAAGAAAGATGCGCCACACAATAATAATAAAACAACATAGATTAAAAGTAAAAATATATGTAGAAAACGGATAAAGAACTTCATCAGGAAGGAAAACAGTCATGTTTAAGAAGTTCAAACAGTATTCGTTAACTATCATCAGGAAGGGAAGAAGGAAGGAAATTGCAACACGTTCGCCATTGATTACGATTCTTGGCCATATCCGATAACCTTTCGAGCCATCGATTCGAGCTATCTCGCGGACCCCAACCAGGGAGTTGTGACACACCAACCGATGCTAATCTAGCACAAATATCCTTCATCCCACGACGCCAAGTCACGGACTGACCACCCCTCCGCCTTTTCCATCCCGTCCCAGGGCTAGCGAACAGAGACCTGTACGGAAGCCTCCGGGATGACATTCGCAGCACATGTCCAAGCCACCGGAGCCGGTGTTTCCACATGACGACACTCAATGAATGGTGATCTCCACTGTGTTCAAACACACGCCGCCGAACCTCAGAATTACTCACGCGATGACGCCATCGAACGCAAGCAATCCTGCGGAGACAGCGATGATCGAACACGCAGAGCCGCCGCTCACCCTCAGTTCGAGGAGGTCAGGTTTAACAGGCGTAGAGCAAGACAGCCCGCACCGAAGCATTGTATACCCGACTTTTGACAGCCAGGCTAACGTCGCGACGGCGCCAGAGGTGGCACAAGTTGATGTATGCCACCCTAGCCTTCATTATACGGTTGGAAATCTCATCCGTCACCCCTCCGCCAGCACTCACACAAATACCCAGGTACACAAAATTATCAACAACTTCAAGAGGTTCACCCGCAAGAGTGAGCGCAGGTACAAGCTCCTGCATTACCTTGGAAAAATCAAAAGAAGGCAAAATCAAACTTAACGAAATCGGAAAGAAAAGCTTTAGTTAGTCTAAAACAGGATAAAATTATTGTCATCGCAAAAGCTGACAAAGGAAACGCCACCGCAGTTTTGAATAAATCTGACTTTATCAAAGAAAATATTGAACATATTCAAACGGGTCCATATGAGGAAATTAAGAAGCCTGTAGATACAATATTGAATAAGGTTAAGGTCTACAGCAGAACTAATACGCAGAATGAAGCCGTCACTGGGTGAGTCTAAATGGTTTAATTTAATGGCTTAAACTAATAATGCTAGTAGAATATATGGTACTATTAAAATACATAAGCCAGGATACCCCATTAGGCCAAAAGTAGATTTTAGAAATAACACAACTTATGAATTATCAAAACATTTGGCTCTAATACTATGCCCTATCAGAAATCATTCAAACTCTAGATTAACTAATTCATATGAGATGAAAAGTACACTAAATGACTAGCGAATGACGAAACAATGGTTAGTTTTTATATAACTACTCTCTACACTAATATACCAGTAAATATAGCCTTAGAAGCGGTTAAAAGAGAAATAACTTCTGATTCCGAACTTAAGCAAGGTTTAAAGTGTGCGGGTACAAGTAAACTAATCATCCGTTAGAGCAACCCTGGCCAACCGCTCCCCTTCTTGCTCCAATGAGTTTATACTGGCATTCGTTTCTGCAAAAGAAGAAAAGAAAACTTATTTAGTGGTATTATACGAGTTTTTGTCCCATTACAGATCACCATAGTAGAAATGTACCTGAAGGCGGCGCGTGAAGTAGCGTCTGTGCTTCGCCGCATAACTTAAACTGGTTAACTTAACAGTGAATGACTGAAATTAAACGTCACGTACAAGGTCATTGGTGGAGTGAGACGCTCAAAGGTCATTCTCGTCCATGTTACTGGGCCGTAGCTGTTCGTTTACACATTAGTTTTTCCGTTAACCCTGCAGTTATTCACAACTTATCTGGATGCACGTTGTTCACAAATGTTGCGTTTCACTTCATTATTGTTTCCGTTTCTGTTAAAATTAGTTATTTCGTTTGTTTCGAAAGTTTTTACCATCAGGTCAGTGCATTTATTTCATAGTAATTGTTTCATACGTTGCATTCATGCATGGTTTCGGGGTTTTAGTTGTTTTTCAGCTATTAATGAATTAGTACTGTGTAGAAGTTTTGGAAATTATGCACATGAACATGTTTGGGTGGCAGAAACAACAGCTTAAGCTGTTCACTCGTTGGTTGCGGTTATTGTTGCTGGCTCAGTTGCTCACTTAACATGTAGAAATCTGGAAAGAAAATGTCTTTCACGTTCATCTTTACAGCATGCAACAATCTACGAGTGAATCTGGTGAAGAGAGCGCGATCAGGTTTGATATTAGCGAGTTTTTCGAAGAGCATATGAAACCTTGAGAATTTCCCAGCTAGCATTATTTTCGGGCGCACTGCAGGTTTTTTGGGGCAAGAAACTTCGGGCGCATCCACTTACGTAGAACAGTGCCCCTAAGCCTGCCTCAAAAAGTCTGCAATGCGCCTGCTAGCTGGGTTAGAACCTGGTTTGAAGAAAGTTTTTTCGAGAAGATGAATTACCATCAGTGTGTCTGTAATCAGTTAAAAAGTCAGATATATATTGTGGGAGAATCTAAATCAAACAAGTTTGAGCCACATGAGAAGTATGAATCTGTTGTGCTTGTGTGTATTTTTGGGAACTAAAAGAAACTGGAACCCCTAAAGGGTAAGTGTTATGTATGCTTATTAATGCTTAATGTACCAGATCCAAATGCATGAACCATGACTGCCTTTAGTAGAGCCAGTGTTAACAGCCACTCGATATGTTGCAAATCGATTTACAAAATGAATAAAATACGATGATCTGGTGAGTGTACGAACGATCTCAGTTAAAGGTAAGACTTTACTTAGCAAGAATAACGTTTTGGGTTGTGGTCTACGATCGCTGGTTTTCTCGATGTTGTGATTTCTCGGTGACTATAAACACGGATTTCCATGATTTTATTTAAGAAAACTTTCAATAAATTTTCCTTGAACCAGTGGTCTTCTTTTTCTTGGCGAAACTTCTGTTGATACGATTAGACGATTAGGTAGCAAAGTAGAATGTTCTGTGACTGAGAATCGTAGTCATTGTGTTTCGGACTAATTTCGCGAATCTGACTGTTGTAACTGCAAATAGTGAGTCATTTGAGGTGATAGGATGAATACCTCTAAACGCTTCTGAGGAGAGGAGACTAGGGTATATTTACTTTATTCGAGTAAGAGACGATTTTTTACCAAGAAAGTTTTCAGAATTTCCACTTTTACTTTGCTATTCAAAGATAACGTTAAGTTGCTCACTAAGGCAGTAGCTATAGGAGATTACCTTCAGCGGAAACTATATGAAGGTAGCTTTACGTAATGCGTCATAGAAGTAAGCAGCGTAGGTTAGTTGTAGAAAATCAAAACAAATGATTCAGCGAAGAGACTCTTTTCAACGAATTTATCATCAAGCTGTACAATCGTATATATATGGTTTTAAGAAGTTATATCCGGTGAGGGAATTGAAACATAGGTGTGAATGCATAAAATAATAATCATCCTCCTTCCTTACTTCATGATTCGCGAGACAAATGGGGTTATATTTATGGGTCTGTAATCGCGGACGTTTGCCTTATCTCCGGATTTATAGTGTGGAAATATGAAGCTAGTTTTCCACTCATTAGCGTAAGTGCCAGTGTCCATGAATATTGAGAAGAATTGAAGAAGTAATAGGGGTATATCAAACCCGCTGTTTTTGAAGATTATAGAAGCAAGGCCATCTGGTCCCGTGCTAGTGGAAGGTTTCAGGCTTTTAACTGCTTGTTCTATTAATTGGTTGGTGAACACTATGCTTCCGAGGAAAGAGCTAGTAAGGGGCCCGGTTTCACCAGGAGTGCGCGTTTCTAAACTGAAGTTTGCAAACCACTCACTGAATATTTCACAGATAGTGGCAGGCACATTATAGAT